TTGAGTTTTCTTCAGTTTGCGTCCGGGCTCAATCTTTAGGTTAGAAATAATAGCATTAAGTAATCAACATCACGCAGTGCATCTAAACTTTTTGCTCTCCAAATCGCGATTTTCTTCGTAACTGTTAAGATACTAAGATCACCAGTGGATTGGTTTATCTGAATACTGTTAGACTGATCGTAAAAACTGTTAGGACCAAGCGAAGCATTTTGAATTTTGATGTTTTTATCTGTATCAGAGTGTATTCATTTGTGTACATTCGTTCTGCATTCATTAGTGCCATTAGTATTCTGTTTGTGACCGTTTGTCTTTCTTGTAATCCAGTAGACCAAAATTAAGAAAAAATAATCAACCTTCCTTATTAAACACAAATTCCTGGGAGCCAAATTGTTGCAATCAATAATAATCCAATAATAGTTCACCGGGATGGCCCTTCATGCAAGTCCTCAGCTCGAACCGATTACAGTGATCTCCGAATAAACAGAATTGTTTACAGACTAAGAGAAGCAACTACTATTTTGTTCCATCTGGTATGGTAAAAGTGGTTTCGCTCATTACCTACAACATGTCGTTGTGAAGATGTTTACGCTGTTTATTAAAGCAATATTTTACCAAATCCAAACACGAGTCTGTGCTGGTGTTTAGTTTACCCATCGAAGAGTTGTTTGGTTCAATGTTGATCTCCAGAAGCACTCGTTGATTGCGGTTAACAAAATCAGAAATCATTGGTGAGCGTCTTTACGATTGCTTACAAAACCGTAACAAATTTTAGCGAAAGATTTCGGCTGTTTTTATTGTGGTACACAATGCATGAATAGAATGAAATTTTATTAGTGAGATTCCGTATTCTATCAGTCAGTGAATTATTGTCCTCGAAAGTCTCATAATGAGAATTACTGTTTCGTCATCACCATCATCAGAATCACGATAACGACAGCAACGGCGATACTTGTCTTCCTCAGTCACATATGCTGTGCTCAGCCTTCATTTACTGACTGATAACGCTCTCTCCTGAGCAATCGGTTCTTTCTTACACGGCTTTCTCTGATCGATGCTTCAGCTGTTGCTTTCTGTCCACAGTATACACGTTCGTGGAGGATGGATTTCATGATCAAAGTAGTCATATTTGAAATCGTAAGAAGGATTCCCGCTGGTGTTGGTCTGGGAAATTATGCGAGGAGTAATTAATTAAGGATCCCAATATGCGCAGTTTTGGCGAATACAAAGTAAAACACATTTATTAAGTGCTTGGGTGGCAATTCCATCTGCCACACACATCCGATGCACGGTATACCATTCATCACCATCTCAAATTATTTGTTCTGTAACGAAGATATGATGCAACTCAATATCAGGAAGTTCTCATAACCACTTTAAAGAATATGTATTCAGTTAAATGTTGATATTGGCGAGATTCACATACGAGCTAAAACCATTAAAAGGAAACGTTGACGTAGACGTAACATCGGGTCTTGAATTCACTTTTCAAGGCATATACCTTCCAATGGGTGGCTGGAAAATGACAACATGGATAGGATTCGCAAATGGAATGGGGTGATTTGTTTGTAATTACCGCATCGCCTTTCTCCATCTTGACCTTAACTGGATGATACGCTTGGGTGAATCCAATCGGTAATACTCCGGTTGTTTTGGAGGTGGCAGAGTGACGTAATGCAACTCAGTGCATTGGCTGTCTATTAACACAATGCGAACTGAAAACACGCTGAAACGCAATACCGCAATACCGCATCACCGTTTTTATATGTGCAGCGAGTAGCAACAGGTATCCTGCTCTATTCGGATGAATAAATTGATGAAAAAATAACAAACCGAATGTGGATTTATATCGATTTCAACTGGCACTTAGGGTGATTGTTGGGTAGTGTTCCCTTGAACAGTGACGCATCGACTGAGATCAGTGTCAAAGATAGATAAAGTGCTCAAGTTTTAATACGATTGAAGTGTTCGGTAATGTCGGGATTCCT